CTGGCCAAGGACTCCAGGAAATTTTTTTTTGTTATTCCATGATAATCTTATCTGTAGATTATGGAAAGAAAAATAAAAACAAGACTCTGGAGGGTTCACATGTCTTTCAGTTTATGTAAGATGTCATTAAAAACTCAAACGGATGGTTTTCATCCTAACTATAGTCCTTAAAATCCTAATTCATAAATCATAATCTAAGAGAAAAACAAAAGAACCATAAAATAATAAAGTTAGGATCAAACGAGCACAAGCTTTTTATTCATGAAGGGGTACGTCAGGAGCTCAGCTGTTTCCTATGCTTATTTTGGTCTCCTAATTAACAATGGCAGGAGTCTGTTGATTGTCTGTTGGACCAAATGACTTGAGTGGCTCTTTAAAATACAAGCTGGGGAAGGCACGAAAATGGAAGAGGTACAAAACTAAGGCAAGGGATAAAATAAATTGGAATTTGATTTTGAGAAATCCAATTTTTAAAATATTTTTTATGTGTATAAATGTATTGCCTGCATGTGTATGAGTGCACCCATGTCATGAAATGCCTGCAGAGGTCAGAAGAGGGAGTCAGAGCCCCTGGAACTGGAGTTATAGGTAGTTGTTAGCCACCATATGGATGCTGGGAACCAAACCTGGGTCCTTTGCAAAGCAGCTAGCGTTCTTAACCACTGAGCCATCTATCTCTAATTGTTAATGTGCACATGATATAAGCACAGGGACACTCACTAATTCAGACATGTGTATCTAATTTTGCCAACATTTCTGCACCACATTAGAAGTGAGATGTGTGTGCATGTGTGATCCTACTGAAAACAGAAAAACCAGCACCGTTAATCATGCAGGGTTAATGCTGATTAACCAGATGATAGAGGCTTTGTGTTTTTCCTATAGACTCTAGGTGTTTATGAGGAAAGTCAACATTCTTCAAGAGGCAAAATGGTCAGAGCTTGCTCCAAAGCCAGGAGAATGCAGAGATAGAAGCAGGGATATACCAAGCTCTGCACAGTATTGTTTTTAATTAATTTATTTTTAATTTATGTGTATGAGTGTTTTACCTGCATGTATGTAAGTGTACCTGTGGGTACAATTACCGTAGAGGTCAGAATGGGGCATTGGATAACCTGGAACTGGACTTAGGGATGGTTAGCAGCCACCATGTGGGTACTGGGAACCTAAATTGGATCCTCTGTAAGAGTGGCCAGTTTTGTTTTTGTTTGTTTTTTTTGTTTGTTTGTTTGTTTTTTTTTTTTTTTTTTTTTGGTCTTTTTGAGACAGGGTCTCCCTGTAGCCGCAGGTGGCCTAGATTCACTATGGAGAGGCTGGCCTCGAACTCACAGAGATCTGCCTGTCTCTGCCTCCCAAGTGCTGGGATTAAGGGTGTGTGCCATCACTCCCGGTTATGTGGCCAGTTCTTTTAAGTGCAAAGTCATCTCTCCAACTCCTGCTGCACAGTATTTTTTTAAGGAAAAGTTCTTCACAGAAGACATTGGCCAATGGGCAGAGGAAAGAAATAATGCCAAACTAGACAACGTGTCCACAAACGTCACAGGCAGGCGCCACTGGTCCTTCTGACGCACTTCTATGTTCTTGGGCTATGGAAACACTGTTTCCTTCAAGTTTAAGTAAAGGACATCTGTTTTATAACTCAAACATCACAGTGAATAAACACTTAGTGCTGTAAATTGGGGAAAGCCTGATTTTCAAGGGTTTCTCTATAAATATTTGTGGTCATTCATACCATAAAAGGTCAGGTTCGGTTTTGCAAAATGGAAAAGTTCTGGAGAGCTGTTTCATAGCAATTGAACACACTGAACACCATCAAACTGAACAGCTAAGTTGTTTTTAAAAACTATAATTTTTTTTAAAGTTTCAATTATTAAAAGTAAAAAGAAGGTGGAGGGGGTCTCAAGATCCATGAAAGCACTACATTGTTTCCATTAAAAAACTTGCTGAAGGAACGAATGTTCTGTTCTTTCACAAAGCATGAACTAATTTCTATGCATGAGCAGCTTTAAAAATTAATGCATATCCAGGTGTAATGGTGCACACCTTTAATTCCAGCACTTGGGGGGCAGAGGTAGGCAGATCTCTGTGAGATCAAGGCCAACCTGGTGGACTACAGGGAGACCCTGTCTCAAAAATAACCCCCCAAAAAAATTCATAGCTACAACAAAAAAATCCTACTTTATACCTACCAAAGGACAATTTCTATATGCACCTCAGATGACAGTTTTAATTATCTAGGCTTGTTTCCTAAAACCAAAAATCTAAAATGGGGAGAGACTGTGGAAAACACTAATCTTGTCTTATCGCCATCCTTCAGTCCCCATGTACATGATATAATGGCATACTAGCAATTTTCCCAAGATGCTATAAAGAAACTCTGAACTCTCGATCAAAAAAAAAAGATCTTTCAAGAATGAGAAGATTGCTCCATGTTGTTCATAGTTTTATTGTGTGAAAAATTTTGCCCAGGCTGGCCCAGAACAAGTAAATCTCATCTGACTCTTTGGAATGTCAAAGTATCAACAACGTAATGAGCTGAAACAACAGCATCCCTAAATTCCTTCATCTTTTGCCATAGTCTAATAGTCTGAAAAAATTAAGCCACTTTTATAGTATAAATCCTTTCAGGAAATTAATTCTTCAGTCACTGACTAGGTCTCAAATAAGCAGCAATGTACATTCAGTTATTACATTTGGGATTTAATGACTAGACCAGCATTACAAGCTTATTATCACTTACACTCTTTTCTGTTCCCTTACCAAATGTCACCTCTCCATTTCCACTCTTGTCAAACAATTGGAAAGCCACTATGAACATGGAATCTGGAGCACATAAAACAGATTCAAATGCCAAAAACTCTTGATAGGAGATCAACCTGGAACAAAATATAAAATGTTACTGGGGCTGCAGAGATGTCTCAGTGGTTAAAAGTATGTAGTGCTCTAGCAGACCTTTGTTCAATCCCTAGCACCATCAATAGTCTGTAACTCCAGCTCCAGGAAATCTGACACCTACTTCTTGCTTCACACACATGTACATATATATTCATACATGTATATACACACATGCACATACTCACAAAAATAAATCTTTTAAAAAGTTAACTAGCTAGTAGAAATTTCTTTAAAATTTTTAAATGGGGGGGAAGGCTGGAGAGACAGTTCAGCAGTTAAGAACACTAGCTATTCTTATAGAAAACCCAGATTCAATTCCCAGCACCCACATGGCAGCTAACAACTGTCTATACTCCAGTTCCAGGGGATCCAATAACCTCTTCCAGCTCCTGCAGATGCTGCACAACACAGGTGCACTTACAAACATGCAGGTGTAACACTCATATATACAAAATAAAAATTTTAAAAATCAACTGGCTAGTAGAGAACAGGAGAATGCTGGACTGTTTTATGAAAAAGAGTTGGGGATTAATAAAGATTTTATCATTTTTTAATTTTACGTTTATGACTATTCTGCCTGCATGTAAGTGCACCACATGCATGCAATGCCCACAGAGGCCAGAAGAGGGCATCAGAGTCCCCTTGAATTGGACTTACAGATGATTATTAGCTGCCATGTGGGTGCAGGGAACTGACCCTGAATCCTCTGAAAGAACAGCAAATGTTCTTTAACCACTGAGTCATCTCTGCAGCTCATAATAAAGATATTTTAACATATGCTTAAGTGTAAGGGTTAAGAGAAAGAGAGGTGGGGCTGGAGAGATGGCTCAGCAGTTAAAAGCTTTGGCTGCTCTTGCAGAGGACTGGGGTTCAATTCCCAGCGCCCACATGGAAGTTAACAACCGTTCAGAACTCCAGGTCCAGGATATCCAAGGCCCTCTTCTGACCTCCTCAGACATTGCACAACACAGGTACATATGTGCAAAACAGTTGTACACATAAAATAAAAAATAAATCAAAAAATTTTATAAAAAAAAAGATACTCAGAAAAAAGTAAAACACATGTAAGTAAGAACATGGGTGTGCGTTTCTCAAGAAGTCACAGAAAGTAAGACACATCCAAGTGTGGAATAGGCTCTTCAAAGTAGAGTAGCCAGTACCAGACACTAATATGTTGTTTCTAGATGCCTATAGCTTGAGGTAACTAGAAAACAGAGGGTAGATAACATGTATTGAAGGGAAGGAATAGTTCATTTTTAAGCACTTGAAAAAAATTAATGAACATGAGCATTAATCAATAACTCCAAACATCACAGAGAGAAGTAGGCCAAAAATAAACCTGAATTAGATCAAGAGTCTCTCAATTCCAGCACTGCTGAGATTTTTATCTGGATAAATCTTTTGTTGTTGGGGTCTTCCATGTATTGCAGGATATTTACCGACATCCCTGGCTTCTGCCCAGAAGATGTCAATAGGATCTCTCAGTTGTGATAGTCAAAAATGTTTTTGGACAATGTCAAATGTGTTCTGGAAAACAAAACTGCCCCCATTGAGAAGCAATGATTTAAAACCAATCACCAATGTAGAGAATATGTAATAAAGGAACATGTTAACCAATACTACAGTGATGCAGCCTAGAGGGCCAAGAAAATAAAAATTTACAAGACATAGTGGGGATCTGAGCATGGTAGCACATGTCAGGAATCCCAGCACTTGAGAAGATGAAGAATTATGAGTTCAAGGCCAGCCTTGGGTACATGGTGAGACCTCTTTAAAACAAACAAAACAAAAACAGGTATGGTGGCACATGCCTTTAATCCCAGCATTCAGGAGGCAGAGGCAGGCAGATCTCTGTGAGTTTGAGATCAGCCTGGTCTACAGAGCAAGTTCCAGGATAGCTGGGACTATACAGTGAGACCCTGTCTCAGTGTTAAAAAAAAAAAAAAAAAAAAAGCCAGACTAGGTGTGATGACACATTCCTGGAACCCCAGAACTGGGAACATGAAGTAGAAAAACCAAGAGTTTAAGGCCAACCTTGACTACATAGCAAATTCAAGGCCAGCCTGGGCTACATGAGACCTTATCTCAAAATAGAGAAAGAAAAGTCTTTTAAAATACAAACCGAAGTATTTTTACATGAATGATTTCATCTGGAGTTTCTGAAAAATAAGCCAAAGGGGGGCTAGAAAGGTGGCTCAGCAGTTAAGAGCACTGGCTGCTCTTGCAAAGGACCCAGGTTTGGTTCCCAACACTCACATGGTAGCTAATAACTGTCTGTAACTCCAGTCCCAGGGTATCCAGTGCCCTCTTCTGACCTCCACATTGCATTACGTGGGTGCACTTACATACATGCAGGCAATATACTCATACACATAAAATAACAAATAAATTTTTAAAAAACAAGCCAAGGGATAGAAGTTTTAATGAAATAGATTTAATAATTATCTTTTTAAATATTTTATTTATTATTTTATTTTGAGTGTATTGCCTGCATGTATATAAGCACATCCATGTTGTGCAATGCCCGCAGAGATCAGAAGAGAGTGTCAGATCCCCTGGAACTGGAGTTACAGATGGTTGTTAGCTGCCACATGGGTGCTGCGAACCAAGCCCAGGTCCTCTGCAAGAGCAATACTCTTAACTGTGGAGCCATCTCTCCAGTCCTTTAATAATTATCTTGATAATTAAATCCTAAGATACATACTTTGTGAGTTGAGAAATTAACGAGTAGCCAAAATGACAGGAAAATTACTTTTAATAACCTCGTGGAGCACGCACTCAACTCAGTCAGGACCCATGGTAAATTTGTCACAGACATTCCATGCTACATTTCTGCTATTCATTTTTTTCTTTTTTAAAGAAAAGGTCTCATGTAATCCAGGCTGGCCTCAAGCTCTGTATGCACTGCAGCATATTTACTAGTATCCCAGGCTTCTTCCCAGGTGACACCAGTAGCATCTCTCAGTGTGATAACTAAAAGTATCTTTTTGCAATGCCAAATGTGTCCTAGAAAAGAAAATTGCAATCCTAACCCTCCTGCCTCCAGCTATTGAGTGCTGGGATTACAGGCATGGACCACCAAACCTGGCTGATTCCCAAATCCATAGTACTGGGTTTTGAGAAAGCATATTAAGGATAACGTGACTTAAAAGTAACCAGGGGCTAGTATTAAGGACTGAAGATGTAAATCACTAGCCCTGGACAAATTCCTTAGCCTCTGAGTTTCCTTATATGTAAAACTTTTTAAATATATTTTTAATTGAATTTTGTACATTTCATACAAAATGTCTTAATCATCTTTATACCCCCTCCCCCATCTGTCACCCATTACAGGATTTCACAAATTCTGCCATATATGTTAAGCCCTAAGGAGTCAAATTAGTGTACCCAGACATCCCTCAGTGCAAGTTCAACCACTGGGGTTGCAATACTTTTAACATTTAACTGTCAAACTTGTTTTGAGAAATCTATAAGATATATGAAAAAAAAATCTATAGCCACCACCATTTATTAACTGTGTGGGTGTGAGTGTGGGTGTGTGCGTGCGTGCGTGCGTGCGTGCGTGTGTGTGTGTGTGTGTGTGTG